TAAATACAAATTATAATAAATATATATTTATATACGTATGTGTGTTCTGCAGTGAACTATGTAGCCTTGCATATTTTGTAGCATTTGATAACTATTTTTTCCCTGGAGAATTAATGGAATTTCCTAGAGAATTTCCTAGAGAATTCTTGGCCTGTTCTCATACTTAGACTCCAGTTTTCTGGTATCTAAAGATTATTTTCTGAATGCAGTGTTTAGCTCTGAATTTTCGAGAGAATTCAGAATGAAAGAGCTAACGTTGTTTTCCTGTTTGGTATCAAATAAATAAAATATAAATACAGAATATGCCCTTCTTGTAGATAATAATGAGCTGCAATAACCAAGGATTTTGACACACAGGACAGCAGGGAGTTTGAGTGTAAGAGCTGTTCCTTGAGAGGAAAAAAACAAAACGAAACCAACAGTCAACAGCAAAGGCAGGTGAACAGAGTTCATCCTCTTCTTAGTAAACCCAAAGAGGAACAGGCTTAGAATGGGCCTCAAGAGGCCATCCAGTTCATCTTGCTGTCCCTAGACAGGATCAACTGTATTTATGTTACTTCTCATGTTTGTCTAATATGTTCCCAAAGTTCCGTGATAACAGAGACTCCATGGCTTCACAAGGAATCAGTTCAAATGTCTCACAATTCTCATTTTACCAAGTTTTTCCAGACAAGTAACTACTTTTGTGCTGCAATTAAACCCATTATTTCTTATCACTACAGATTATTCTCTTTCTTTTAACAGCCTCTTAAGTAATTGAAGGCTGCTAATATGTGTTCCCTCAGTCTTCTGGTTTTCAGTCTAAACAATTCTCCATCTTTCCTTCTAGGTCACATTCTCCAGACCACTGGTCATTCTTGTTGCTTGCTTCTGGACTCCCTCCAACAGAACCAAAAATGGAGACAGTCTTCTAGTGTCCAAAAATGGACACAAACAGTCCAGCTGAGGTCTTACTGAGTACAGCGAAAGGATTTCTCCATGGGGTTCACTGACTGTACTCCTGTTTATACATACGACTAAGATGTTTGTCTTTTTCTGCAATAGCTTGATACGGTTGGATCATGTTTGCCCTATGATCATTATGATTCCCAAACTAGTTTCTGAAGGACCGTTGCCTAGTCAGCTGATCGTGCCCAAGCAATACCTTATCTGAAGAAAGGCAGCAGACAAGGACAAAATTCAGACTAGATTTCTAATTTTTCAAGATTGATTTGAATTCTAATCTCATTCTTCAAAACTTCTGCAAGCTCTGCTCAGCTTCATATGTCATGCAAGTTTACTAAACACACTTGTTTATGCCATCATTCACAACGATGAATATGACTATGATTAATAGAATTTTTCTGGCATTACAATGAAATTGACAGGCCTACAAAGTCTACATCTGCTCATTATATTTAAATATAGGTATATTTATTTTGAGACAGGTGATACCTTTGTTCCTTGCATTTTTCCAGTAATTTACATGTCTTCACTAATGTCAAAGGAGAAACCCTAACAGTTCCAAGCATGGTTCAGCCACTCCTACAAGTAACTTACAGTGATATTCATCAAACCTAGATGAATAGCCAATATCTAATTTAATAGTTCACTCTAACTCAGATCAAATCCTTTTTTGTTGTTAGTAATTATGCCACTCTGGATATTTGACTTCTTAGTAAAGGCTGACACAAAAGGGCTTTCAAAATTGCAAAGGCAAACTAGCAAGTCTATGTACTAAAGTTTACTAACAGCACTAAAAATGCAGTATTAACACGAATTTGGGAGCAACACATTGCAGCCATGCTGATTTTATGTTCAACTCATGAGACAGACGACAAGTAGGTAAGTCAGGGAAGAAGTACACATACCAACAGGAGGACCCGCTGGAACGACACACTTCTTGTCCCCCCGGGTGGCAGGGGGGGCACCCTGACTCCTTGCGAGGCCTTCCTGGAGGAGCTCCTGCACCCGGCACTCATTGATCCGGGGGAAAGGAAGGATGTGAACCCGCAAGTGGGAGCCCTCCGTGGGCCGTGGCACTTTCTGGAATGCTATGTGGGGATTGGGATTCTCCTGCAGGGCAAAAGCAAAGGTTATATACAAATGTGTTACGTGGTGTTACCATCTGTATTATCCAACTTTATTACTTTTTGTGTAGCTGCCATACCTGAATGATTAAGCCAAGTACCTAATGCAGCTCACTAATATAATGTTACATATTCATATCACCCTGATTCATTATCTGTAATACTTCTGACTTCATTAAAGGCTTTTACAAAATTATTTTTGTCAACATGCAAAATCCATAAAGAAAGAGAGCATAAGAAAATTACTGCTTAGGTTGATTTTATGCAGCTTAAGGAATATTTAGGACTCAAATAGTTTGACAATCAATCTCTTCATTACAGAGAGGGTTAAAGAGTACTAAAACACATCATCTCTTCACCAAGTACTGAGAAATATTCTCATCTTGATTAAGACTATGAGGTAAAAGTTAATTTTTGTACCATGTTGTATCAAACTCATTAGATACCAATTTTCTATCTTCCGTATGTCCCACAAAAATACATGACAAAGCTCACTGTTTGCATAAAAAAAAATTAAAGAAATTAATATATGTGATCAAAGAGAGTAAAGCGATACGCCTAAACTACAAGGAAAGTAAAAAAGCTGTCACATCAGATTTTGGGATGTTCACAAAGGACAGAAAAGACTTTTATTGTTGTAAATCTATCAGCATTTCCACTGTGAATGTAAATGTTTGCCTGAATGAATTTTCACTCACTCTTTTATGGTCTGTAATAAGCAGCCCCAAAGAAAGTTTTTATCCTTGCTTTTGGGTTTTCTTGCAGATGTCTTCAGAAGTGAAAAAAAATTAAAAATCAGTTTCACATTGCATCTTCTGTACCTGGTGTTCAGCTACCAGAAAGATCACATACATCATAAACCACTAATTTTCACTCAATTGCCTGCAAATTTATTTCAGCTTAAAACACACTTTCCAGAAAGACATCCTGAAGAGAGCAAGATACTAAAATTCACCATTTCTTTTATTTTTTTTCCCCTCAAATGGTTGATAATCGTTCCTATTTGTGGTTTTTTGGGAGGGTTTGTTGTTTTTTTTTTTCCTCCTGGCTTCAGGCTGTACCTTTTCCAATAGACAGCTGAGATCCACAAGGATTCTACCACCATTCACAGGATCACATCTCAGGTCTTGGGAAGTGCAACAATCAAACAAAATAGGATCTTTTCAGCTGTTCACTCATATACCAGGGGTTGTCACTGATCGTGTTTTAATATATTTATCCAACTTGACTCTGTGCTATTACTTATTACTGGCTACATACCACTGCCAAAGAGTGCTCCTCAATCAGTTAGGTTTCTGTTGCACAACTAGCTTGCAGTAAAACCTGTAAACAGGAGTTAGCTTGATATTTTCGTTTAAGGGAGCAAAAGGCAACAAAGAGATCAAATGCTCAACTTGAGAAATGGGAGACAAAACAAACCAGCTACTTAGCCATACAAATTCTCTGCAGAGGAAAGTTTAATGAAACAAGCCAAAAAACTAGCTAGGAGGATGAGAGCAGCAGATGTCACGAGAAGCAAGGCAGAAAAAGGGAATGCAATCTCAGCAGGGGGTAACAGATGACATATAGCAGAAAAAGCCGGAAAGAGAATGTAACTATTCCACATTCCATTTCACGGAGAAGAAAGATCCAGAGGAAATATAAGGAAAGAGTTACTTTAATCTTGGACATCACAAATGTAATGTCAGCTGAATATGCTGTGAGGAATGTAGGTATAATGTCTTCAACTACTAAAGCAGTATATGCCAAAAACTTGTCTAGTTTCCACTTGTACCAGCTAGACTAAAACAAACATAATCTCTCCCTAACAAACCTTGTCTCCATTATGTATCTAGACTGCCACAGCTACAATATGATGACTACTAAAACTGTAGAACAAGATGTCAAAATAAGTCATGCAGTGAGTTTAAAATCAGGCAGCTCTATGCATAACTTACAGAAGCAATGTTACTCATCACAGTGCTTTATTCAAAAGATAGGTGTATGCATAACTACCAAAAAGCTGACTTGTAAATACACTAAGCCATTTACTTAGTGGTAGTGAAGTAGGAAGTCCATCATAATGACATAAATAGATCTCATTGCAAGAAACGGCTTAAATGAATTAGTTTTGACACTGACTTCAAAAAATAACAGAAATACAGAGTTGCACATATGTACATTTACTCATGCTTTACAGGCCCTTTGATTCTAAGTAGAAAATAGAAGATGATTCCGTCAACATTTAGCATTAAGAGAATGCTCTAGAATGCGGAGATATACCATCAAATAAATAATATTTTATTACAAATGAAATCTCATGGATTAAATGAATCTATGTAACAAAAATTCTGATGCCTGATGTTTCTCTTTATTTTCCACAAGATACATACTCTAAATCCGAAGTGTCAGTGTAAGGATACCAGTGTTAAGATACTCCAATGAGTATGCCATACCACATATGGAGAAGAGACAACATTTCATATACACTGTTACATGTGAAATGGTTTTAGTCCACAGTGATGTATTTGCTCTATCTTCTAGTGACTGCTATCAACAACATAGATTAAGATGTGTATCAATTACCTCCTTCAAAAAAAAGTTTAACAGTTATGAGGCAATTTCAGAGGACAAGAGAGATGGTGCATGTGAGTGAGTCTGAAGACAGACACACAAGTTCTGCAACTAAGGACAATATTAAAGCCAGACTAACCTCATTTAACACACCTACTATTTACACATTTAATTTACTTGAAATACATAGATGTATTTTTCCATCCAAAATCTACTGTCAAAAAAGATTGCTGAATGCACTGGTTGTTAATTTTTTTGTTTCCTATGGAAAAGATACTAATTTTACCCCAAACAAAAATTACAGTAACAGTGAAAAAATCCTTATACGCATTCATGGGGGGCAGGGGGAAGACAGACACACACAACCCAAAGAAACCCTAAAACACCACAGGACATAACAGTACTTGGTAATTCTTGTGGGGTATTAATAGAAGTATAGATGTAAATCATAGTTTTGGGGAAGAGGGATACAGAGTAGAAAGGGTGATTAAGATGTTAACTGACTATATAGTAGATATTCCTCTGTGGAGTCTGAAAAACCTCAGAAGTATGTGTGTGTGTGTGAGATTAGCTGATGCCAAAAAAAAACCCAACAAAGAAAACCCACAAAACCATCTAATGAATGGAAAGGGAAGCACCATGTAACATAAAGGAGCATGATAGGAAGGCAAGAATGAAACTGGAAATGGTATTCCAGGAAACCTAGAGTTCTAGAAACCAGATGTAAGAAATAGTGCTTGCTGAGCACACAAACTGTGGGGACTGGGTTGCACAGCAAAAAAGGTCTGTGGAAAATACATGTTATACCAAACTGGATGTACAGTTTTCACGTGAAAACTGTTTAGAGGCATGGACAGCTTGCAGCAGAGAATATAACAGTTGATACACCTTATGTGAATACTGACTAAAAATAAATGTAGCAGTACCTATAGACAAATCAATATAAGCATTAATAGATCAGTATCACTATACTGAACTTCCACCACATGTACATCGCATGTACAAAATTGATGACATTTCAAGTTCCAAACTCTTCTGTCATAATGTAGACACTAACACAAGCAGTCACTTTATATTTTTGTATACTGGATTAATCTCAGAAGTAAGAGGTTTCAGTGTTACTATCTCAACTTCAAAAGTGCAGCAGATAGAGCAAACTTACATTTTTGAAGAGCTGTTCTGCAAGTTCTCTGACATGCTTTATCATTTTTGGTGGATTACCCTCCTCGGCTTTAATTCTTTCAACTTCAAAGGCTACCAACTTAAAAAAAATAAATTGACAATTCAACTAAAAATAATTTCTTTTGTATTTAAGTTATGAAATGTTAATCTTAAATTGAAACTGAGCAAAGAAAACCGAACACTGGAAGATGTGCAATATCACATTGCTCTGGAACATGAGATATTTTCACTTTCATATAGAGCTTCTGTTAACAGACTATATAGTCCTACCAAACACAGAAATTCCTACATACCTAAGGCATTCCTTTAACATTTCTAATACCACAATCCATATTTCTCATATATACTACTACTGGTCAGAATTAATACCAAATTCTATTTGTATTCTACATTCAAATAAAAGCCAGAACAGTAAAAATATGGCATTATTTAAGAAAAAAAAAAAAAAAAAGAAAAGAAGTTTGCCCCAGTTTATATTCTTGGGTATGTGTTTAATCTAATAGTTCTCGATTACTTTTTCAATGTTTCTAAGAATATAATTAAATTACTCAAAATAATTCTGTACTAGCACATGTGATGCATTATGAAGTTCCAACCCTGACAATAGGAACAGCATTACCATGATTTATACATCTGTTTAACTTCATACATATAAGCATGGCATAATTTTATGGAAGTAAACTGGAAATGTATACTTAGTAGAAATGAGAATTTAAAAGATTAATATAAGCTTTATATAATAAACAATGAGGACACAGAAGCATTTCAATAGTTTTTTACATGCTCAAATATCATAGGCACATTTTAATTTACTTGGGAATATAGGAATAGTTTTCACCTCATCAAAAAGATCACAGGCTCTGAAAGGAGGACCCCTCTCTGACACAAAACCAGCAAATGCCATTCCATTGAGCACTTTGGTTAGAAAGTCATTCTCAATTAAGCCTCGTTTGCCCAAGAAGGCTGCCTGCAATAAAGATAGCAAAAAATGCATGTCTTTTATCAGTATCAAAACTACAGTCAATTAGTTATGTACTGGCAGTTAAATATTTTTGACAGCTTTTACTAATACGTGGTACTTTGCCATGAAATCTTTTATATTAGCTTATATCTTTTTACACCTAAATTCAGGAAAGAAAAGGAAGTTCGATGCACGCATTTTATGTATCTCACAGATAATAAAATACAAAACTAGAACTTCCAAGTATTGTATTCTAATTCAATACATATGCTTTCAAAATTCCATGATGATTCCTCATGTTTATTTGTATTAGATTTTGATATTAATGCTGCTCCACATTTCATCACTATCCTTGCAATTAGTCCCGCTAAAATGCACTGATAGAGTGTTATGTCAGAATGCTACGTTTACCACGTGCAGATTATTTCATTTTATTTTTTTCAAACTTTAACACTTATTCAAAAGGCAAGCTCATGGGAGTAACATGACACTACCTAAATATACATAGCTACTTCTCTTTTACCTTATGGAAATGAATTACTGGTTCAGCATGGATTCTGATCAGCTGAAGACATGACCGGTATCCTTGGAAAAGCTGTGCAAATAGCCTAAGAAAGATTGCTCGCACTTCTTTGTCCTGTAAGCAGTAATTGAATATGCTATCAAAACATTTTTGCATTTTAAACTTTTCCACACATTGATATAAAGCCATCTGAGAAATGCCTACAAATTCATCAAACAATGTAGCAGTGCAGCATAGGCAGATACTTGTACACATACGAAGTTCTCTTATGTGAGGCTACAGTTTCACTGACCTGTCCTCAGGACAGCAATGATAGATTTAGCACATATTCACCCCTTTGCTCCTGCTGATCGTCTCTATGCCTGCACAACAGGCTCTGGGCAATGCAAGTGCAGCTTTTGGGGTTGTCATGTGGTGAACCACATGAAAAAACTGCCATAAGAGAAAACTGCTGCTAAATAAAGGAAAGAGGGTACTTTAGCCTGGATTTAGCCCTTACAATAAGTATGGCTCTACAGTGCTACACAAGCAGCGCCACTGGCGTGGGCAGGGGTGAAAGCAACCTTAGAAGCCTAAGCTAGCATTGCTGCTGCTAGGGGAACCAGGCTAAAAGCACTGTAGACATCACTACAGCCATTCACTGTGGTTCTGCCAGCTGAGGAGACTGCTCTAAATTTGCTTGGCTGCTTGTCTACAACTCTTCGAGCTCATGCCTTCACTTGCCAACCTCCCACAGCCAAAATAAGCCAGGGTTCTGGATCTTTAAAGATGTGGTAGATCTTTAATGCCCTGGTTTATTTTGGTTTAAATGAGTAAGAAGGTGCTTACATAGACGTTGACAGGTTAATGGAAATGATGTGAACAGCTGGGGGCAGACTTCGGGCAGTGACACCTCCAGCTGGCCCGCATGCAAAGACTGTGATCAAATCCTGCATCACCCATGTTACTTTATGTTAGCCCAAGTACCTTCACAGATTACAGCCATGTTTAAAACCGAGGTCCAAAAAATTGTTTTGTGGTGTCTTAAAGAACCTTTTAAACAAACTCTAACTTTAAAAGTTACTTACAGAAAAGAATATTAGATTAAATAATGGGGTAAACAGCTGACTACCTAATCAAGTAAATATAATCTAGGTTAAAGCTTGTAATGACATTTTAAAGAAACAAACTTAGGTATATGTAAGATTCTATGGAGCTGTCCTATTGGGATATTTTACTAGATGTCTCCATATTCTTCACTGGAACATGGTAACTGTTATTGTATCTGTAACTTAATTTTGGAGGGAGTTACTACTGAGATTCTCATTTTCTATGTATCCAGGATTTTAACAGGCACATTTGTACCCCGACTTTTTCAACTATTTGAAAACATGGTTGTTTCATTCAGAGATAACAAAACTCTTATTTTGATACAAAATTATATTTATTTATAACCTCACCATTCAAAGTGAGATCTTAGCTGAATCCTGCCGTTAGTTAAGTGTATGACATTCCCTGTCTTCATTAATGAAAAAAAAGAAAAATCTTAATGCAAGAAGTAAGTACAACAAATATATCGTGCAACTGAAGAGTTTTATGTTTTCAAATACACCTACACAAAAAAAACCAACATATGTTCTTCAACTGAATTAGCTTTTGGATTTTAGTCTGGACTACCAACTCAAGTTCAATTCTACACACTCCTACAAGCTAAAACCAGCAACTTTACCAAGCTGTTAAGTTATCACGGATTCATAACTACTATTACTCTAAATTAATTAGATCTTATTAGAAAACTTTCTACAGACATTTTTTAGTAGAGACAATTACATGTAGTTTCATTCAGTTTGGGGTTCATTAAAGCCATTAACACCTTTCCCAACATTCCAAGCATACAATGTATAATAATTATCATCATTATCGTAAAACCAGTGACTTATGTTTTGCTGACACAGTTATCACTCCTATCTTTACTCAAATTCAATCTAAAAATCTAAATCTTCAATGACATTTTTGATGTTTCTGAAAAGTTGTGGGTGTGTCTGTAGGAGAAGTTGATTTTCATATTTACAGAAATGGATAAAAAGACCTCTTTGTATACTCATGTTAAAATTCTAGTCTATGAAACAGAGGAGGAACAGATTTAACTTAATCTTAAAAGCTCAACTTTCTTATTTACAGAAAATAAGGTACTTCCATATTAATACAAGTATGTTTATAAAAACTTCCATCCTATTAGAATGCCATTAGAGGACTGAATGCAAAGTCCAATGGCATTTCTTTGCTTCACCAATAACACTATAAAGAATATGTATATGGAAAAGAAAACACAAAGCAGAAATTCTTAAAAAGAAGTTAGTCTAAAATTTCAACAGTTTTCTCCTTGAGTCAGACATAACACAGAAATCTTACCAGCATTTTTGAGTGTGATAAAGCTGTTCGTGGGGGAGGGAATGCATAATCTGCTGTTTCCAAATCAGGATGCAAAACCTAGAGAAATTTTTAAACAAAATTTTTTTCCCTCATTTTGCTGAGGAAAGAATAATTTTTTTCTTATTTCTCGGATTAATATTGACTGATAGTAAGGAGCCCAAATAATAGACTGAGTTAAATTATGAAGACTGTATGGAAATAAAAGTGGGATTCATTTCTCAGCTACAGGTTTCTATAAGTGAGCTCATTATGAAAAATTTATATTAATGAAGCTAGTCATGTTTGAGGATTTTAGAGCTGATTCATTTGAAACATATTAACAGGCAGAAAATTCTTCTCTTTAAGATAAGAAGATTTGTTCAGAAGCCTTCAAATAAAGTAATTTCTAACTTTTGACAATGATAGTAAAACCACAAACTAACTACATTTTTGGTGGTTCCCTTACATAGAATCAATCATTCTTGAATATTGATATGGGGTAACATACAAATAAACCTTAAGTGTTTATGCATTTGTTAAATTTCAAGAAAATGTACAGTTGAAATGAATTTCTAAGAACAGAAAAGCAGCTAAACTGAATGGTAACAATGCTGCTCAAATACCGATGTTGAACTCTTATTAAAAAGTCACTATTAGGAAGGAAAAATCACTATCTACCTCTTGAACAGTGAAAAAACATTATAGTTTTATTATAGTGATTAACTTCAACTTTAGATAGTAAATCCTTCTAAAACCAGGAATGTTGGCATGAATCATAGTTTTAAATCTCATTTCCAATGTGTTTGAGAGTGATTTAATACTGAAATTCATTTATAGATTTTTTTTTAAAAAAAGGTGAGAGAGTGGAAAATGGGGTTTGTACCAAAACATACCAGAGAAAGTGCCATTTGAGTCTGATGTAGCAGTGGCTCTGGCAGCTGAGAAAGATGAATACATTCAGGAATTTTAATTGTGCCTCCATCCAGGTCTGCTATGATTACATCTAACTGTAAGGAAGAAACACATCAGCAGTGCATACTGTGAGCATAGTTTAAAGACACAACAGTTCAAATTCATGTTCTGCATATAAGTTAAAATAAGCAAACCAGTACTAACTTTAATGCGTAGAATGTTTTTGACAAAGGAAATACTCCAAATACTTCATATTACTGAATCTAGCCATGAAAAATGAACAGAAACCAAAGCAAGTTAAATTGGGACAAACTTTCAAAACTGACTTCTGTTTCTGGATGTTCCAGGTCTGTGTTCAGGGATCTGACATATATAAAAGGTTGTTTGCAAAAGGACATGATGAGGACAATTGTATGTAAAATTACAGGTTTCTAAACACCTCTGTAGCCCTAGTTCAGTTTCTCCAAGCACATGACAAAGCTATAAATGGAACCATCCCTTCCCATCCTGCACCAGAATCAAATCATTTCCCTCTCTATTTTATAGTCTCAATATACTTAAAAAAGAATTGATGCTTTTCCATTTTTCTCCTCCTATCTTGCCTTGCTTTCTACAATAGTATTTTAAACATATATGAATTGTCCATATAAACATCTCTTCAACTAAACATGACCAATAACATTCTGACTATACATATTGCTGGGTAAACATACTTACAAGCTCATGAATGTCATTGCAAAAGACAGAATGTACGCCAATTATGAAAGGTGTTGGTGAGCTGAGAACTTCCAATAGCTGTGCAGGAAGAATTGGAATATAGGGATAACTGTGAAAAGAATAAACAAAATAAAATAAAAGCTTCTGACTACCTTTTCACACAGGGCACCTTTTTTCTTGAGAAAAAAAAAAAGTCCTCCTCTTATGTATTAAATTTACTATATATTTTTAAAACAAAAAAAAGAAGGTATTTTTTCCCTTCTTATTCTATCTTAAAAATTAAGCTTAACTCTGAAATATTTTAAATAAAAACATGCTATTAAAATACAAGCATCTTTTGAAACAAATGAGTCAGACTTAAATGTCTTCTAAAAAAACCCAAATAGCTTGACATTCAGTTTTCCATTTCAGAATGGTGGATTCAGATGTGGCTTTTTAGAGCCAATTTGTTATTTTAAAGTTATTCTCTGGTGAATATTTGTCAGTGACTTAAAACTGTGACACAAAGTAATGTAGCTATTATCTTAAAACCACAAAATCTTTTGGGTTGTAAGGAGCCTCAAGAGATCATTTAGTCCAACCTACAACTTACAGCAGGGTCAAGACCGAATCCAGATCACATTATCCTGGGCTTTGTCCAGCTGGGTCCCAAAAACCTACATGGATGGAAGTTCCATAGGCTCTGTTCCACTGCTTAGTTATCCTCATAATCAAACATGTTTTCTCTGTGTACAGTCAGAAGCCTTTCTCTCCCCTGTTACAATTTATGACTGCAGTCTCTTGTTTTGCTGCCACACACCTCCTCTTATTGCAGGCTATTAGATCTCCCCAATATCTTTTCGATGCATTTACTCATGGATCACCACTGTCAGGTTTCACCATCCAACTGATGTTTAGACTAGGGTTTCTACTGTATTTGTAGGTAGGATGTTTCTCCTTTGTTTCCACTGTCATGATGCAGTCAGATTTTTATTAATGATGTGTACAGACTAGGACGTGTATACATGATTATGAAACCCTTTGCTTATTTGAACAAACACAGCATAGTTCCTTCTGTTAAGGATAATATAAGTTATATAATATAT